TTGAAAGTTTGCTAATTAAAATAAAGCAAGACAAAAGGGAATGATTTTGAAAGCTCTTTTGTGAGAAGGATCATTCGGGTGTCACTTCCCCCTAACTACTACCATGGTATGTGAATTGAAGCGATTTCTATGGGCAAGGTGGTCGCGAACCGCTGAGGGATGCACATATGGTCGTAGACCACACTCACGATTGCTAAACCGAGGAATACATTATAGGCTGTCACTCAGCCCTCTCGGTTTAGGCAATCAATGGTTGGCTTACCCCCTCACTCAACCCAAGGGTTGGACGACTCAATTATGCTTAACCAAATTGCTTAATCCAACATTGAAGTTTGCCTCAAATTAACCTAGACAGAAGACTTAAAAATCCCTAGGAATATCAACTCAATTGAGTCTCCCTTTGAAGGGAGATTTTTCTCTCTAATCTAGGTTAAGTGGCTAATTAGATTGCTAAGCATAAACATGCACAACCCTTAGATTGCTAAGCACAAACATGCACAACCCTTAGATTACTAAGCACACATATGCACAATCCTTAGGTTGCTAAGCACAAACATGCACTATCAACATGAATAATACCTCAATCATTGAATTAAACAACACCCATAAACAATCATTCAATTCACATAACAGAAAACTACATGGTAGCTAGCTAGGGTTTCATAACACCCAAGTGAAAAAGAAATTTACTCCATGCTAGAAATGGGAGAAACACAAGGGGAAGAGGTAGAAACCATCATGAAGGAGGCTTCCAATCTTCTTGTCACTTGTGTTGAACTTCTCTTGGGGAGAATCTTCCCATATTCACTCTTGGAGCAAAAACCCTAGCCTCTTTCTACTTTGGTTCGTCTTTCTCTCTGTAAAATCTAAAGAAGGCTTTCTCATTCTCAAATGGGCTCTCCAACCTCTCACTAAAATCCTCTTTATTCTCAAAAAATGAAAACCTAACCTAAAATGAAGCTCCCTTTTCTCCTTCAACTCCCCTCTCCTTTTATACCCAAATCAGGCTCAGTTCAAGGTCTTAGGGCTGAGTTCAAGGACACGTTGACCAATTCATGGTCTTAGTTCAAGGACGCGTTGAGCATTTCACGGTCTTAGACCTCAGTTCACGGTCTTACTACAAGGACGCGTTGAGCAGTTCAAGGTCTAAGACCTTAGTTCACGGCCGTGAACATTGAAGCGCGTCAGTGAACTCAAGATGGGTGTCGAAACGCACCGCTTCTCCACGGGCAACAACTCCAGTTCATGGTCTTAGTGACCGTGAACTCGTCTTGCGTTAGTAACCCATAGAAATGCTTTGGAAGCCTCAACGTTCACGGGAAACATCTCTTATTCACGATCATACAAGATTGTGAACTCGCCGTTTTTCACCTCTTCTCCCGGTTTTTGCTCCTTTTCGTCCAACTTTCGACTCCGGGGCTGGTTTTACCTGTTAAATCCTAAATGCTAAAACACGAGAAACCTAGCGTGAAACTACCCTTTTAGGAGCATAATTTCCACAAACGCCTAAGGAAAACGGGGGTAAAACATGTACAGTTAGGGCCGAATCAATTATGAATCATATTCCTTGATTAACCTATCGTGGTCGGGTTCAAACCTTCCCTATCTTTATTGAAAACCACTCATCCTAGCGTATCATCATCATGAATAATACTTTAAAAATAAAAACTTACCATTCTAAATACAATTTGACCCTGATAAAACCCAAAATGGTGTTATTTTTCCCTTCTATTTAGGTTCATTTCAAGTCATTTTGTGTTCGCATTGGTTGATATAAATTGATAAATTTTCTGTTTATCTGATTGTGCATGTTATCTATGAATCATGTGCTTATAATGGGATTATGTATGACGAGCAATTGTGACTCACTGACTACACCAAATAAAATCCCGACTAGATCCCAAGTATAAATTCTAGTAGGGTGTAGAATAAGACAAGCGTTTTAAAATGACAACTCGAACCGGTCCATGTACTCCTACTTCAACCGTTTAAAACGTTATCTAGCAATTGGTTATTAGTGAAAACTAAGAGCTACAATTTAAAGCAAGCAAGAATTCAAATTTTTGTGGATTCGATATGAGAAAACTCCACCTGTCTATAGATCCCCCTAGCTATATATCAAGATCGACTGAATAGAATGCAAATGTGTAGAAGTGTGTTCATACCTCGTAAGGAGGGTGCAACTAGTGAAGAAACTTCACTCTCTCGGATGATAGGCCAGGGAATATCAAATTAAGCTGAGGAACTAGCTTTCTTGACCAATCAACTAAAGGTTGCAAAAGCTACTCCCTCGGAACTTAATCTTGACATCAAAACAACTACCAAATCAAAGTGTTAAATCAAAGTTTGAGGCTTGCCCTAAATTTCCCTAAGTGGGTGACTCAAATGGCCAAGAAATCTAGCTTATCAAAAGCCTCTAGTAAAAGGAGCTTCTCTCCACCTATGTCTTTGGCATGGTTATGAGAAATTAAGAACACAACTCAAACTTTATGAAAATACCTCAAACCTTGCATTAAACACAACTCACAAACATAACATTCAATCCATACAATCTATCACATATCTAAAGCTAGAGTTCACAATACACAAGTGAAAAAGCACTACTTCATAGCTAAACTAGGGATTACAACAAAGAGGAGAGAAAGAACCATGGTGTGGTGTTTGACTTCCTTCCTTGTTGTAGAAATCACCCTTGAAAGATGAAAATCCCCAATCCTCAAGCTTGGAGCAAACCCTAGCCCTTCTTTTTTCTTGGTTCATTTGTTTCTCTCTCTAAAATAAGAAGAAGAAGATGACAATCTCTCATTAGGATCTCCCCCTCAAGTTTCAGCTCCCTTCTCCTTTTATACCCAGCTCACGCGCACATCACGCGTGTGATCTCGAACAAAAGAGCATCATTTCATTTATGACCTTCAAGGCCTGGATAGGATTATCACGGTCTAGTGACCGTGATAACTTTTAGGACCGTGAGGCGTAAAAACTCATTTGGACACCTAGAACAGTACGGTCTGGCCCTCATCTTCACAGTCGGCTAACCGTGATAATATTGCTCTAACAGTTATCATCCCCCTTTTTGCCCCTTCAAATTCACTTTCGCCATCTTTCCTTCAACTTTCGCTCCTAAGGAATCTTACCTGCTAGAACCTGAAACATGCTGGAAACATGCACAATCTCACGTAACATCGAACCTTAAACGATGTAAACGCCTCAAACACCTCAAGAACACGGGGTGAAAACATGTGCAATTAGACCCAAATAAATTGCACATAATTTTATTAGTTTGTTGCAGACAATACATTACAACGAATACATACCAAATTGAAATTGAAATAAGTAACGCTTGAAATAAATAAATATAAAAATGGGCTACATTAGACTTTGGTATATCATATGAACCAGAAACTGACCAGAACACGAATATGACGAACAATGTGGACTTGGTTGGTCTTCGACGAAGGAAGCTGATAGTACAAACTACTGAGTTATGTTTGTTTCATCAACATCTAGCGTGGTAATTAAGTTAATTATTATACTATTTACAAAGACACTACCCCAGATGCAATGTGGGTATAATTCTGCGCGGAGCTTACTATTCTCAGAACTTGGGCCTAGAAGCCCTGACCTCTAAATTGTGGTGACTATGTTTAACCATGCCGCAAAGCAATCTATACAAAAGGAGATGAAACTTGATAGCTGGTAGGATGTGGTGAGTGTAAGAAGAATTTGAGAAACCAATCAATGCAAGGAGACCTCACTATTTTTTTTTTTTTGAAATTTTTTCCTTTTAGCCTAGCCCACAAAATCAGATGGTTAAGCATTTTTAGGTAGGGATGAAAATTTCGACCTGACCCGTTTTACCCAACATGTTTGATCTATTTTGGGGCGGGCATGGGTACTCTCATCGACCCGACCTGCCCTGACCCGCCCCATTCTCGACCCGTTCTTACCTAAATTACATGCAATATAAGTCAAATTACTTAGGAATTTTCTTTTATTACATCATAATTTAGCTATAATAAAGTTGTAAATTAGTGAAAACCTCAATTTCTCTAATAATTTAACTATATTTATCATAATATTGTTTGCTTTCTTGGTCTTATAATAAAAATAACGAATATTTCTAATGTTTTTCATATAAATTGTCTACCCATTGGGTCGACCTGCCCCGACCTACGACCCGTGATGAATTACCCGACCTGGACCTGACCTGCCACGGGGCAAGTCTGGGTACCAAGAAACCCACCCCGGACCTGCCCATTACCATTCCTATTTGCATGCAGTGGAGGGATGGTTCATATGCATGATTTTAGCATAATCAGATAGAATGCTGAATTTCAGTAAAATCATACATTCAACAGGATTGTGTCGAAATTCTGCTTTTGATAATAACTCCAAAACCCCAAAAAGTTTGTCACTGTAGAATTTTGAAATCCCACATGGTTGGTGTTTTCTTCTTTCAAAAATGACCCTTTCTTCTTTCATGTTTCTTCAATACCTCTCGTTTCCATCTTCCCTATTCATTCGACCCAACACCAATCTCCATCGTTGTAGCTAGTTCTCTCCACTCTTGCATCCTGCACCATCACCACCAAAGTTGGCCACCGGATGTAATTTGTGTTGCAGTATCAACTAATTCTGTCCAAAATTATCAAAACCGCCATTCTATCATACATCTTGTTAGAATACACATATTCCTTCCTCGCCAGTTCAAATTCCAATTTTCGCTCACAGATCTCATTATCGCGGTAGCCTCCATGTCTCCCTACATAAAATTCAATTCAATCTCACTACAACTTTTACCACCAAGAAATTCCCCAATTGTATCATTATGTCACTAGAAGGTGAGTGGGGGATACAAAGCGCATTAGAGAGAAGGGAACGAGGGAGAAACAGTCGATGAGAGGGTCAACAAGGAGAACGACTAGGGTATGTGGGCTGCTGTGAATCGGCTGGTCTGGAAACGCCGGTTGAGGAAGGGGTTGAATGGTAGAAAAAGAAGAACAAAATTGTAATGTTTCTTTTTTTGTTAAAAATCTTACCCATATGCAAACAAACTTTTTGTAACATACCAAATCTTGTTTTTTACAAGATATTGTCCGCTTTCGGCCAAAACCCTCAGGGTTGTCGACTTGGGGATCATGATCACACGTGATAGTGCCTATTCTAAACCCCCGTATTGTGACCAAAAGTTCTAACATTTTCTATCATTATCGGCATAATGCATTGGATTATTGTTGTGATTGCTTCAAGTGCATCCTAGCAACCCTATGATTTCTTTTATACTTTTGATGTGCTTTTGGATAGCGTTTTATGCATTTTCAAGGTCGAGCAGCCTAGTGGGCCACTTGGAAGCCGTAGGGACATCTAGCCGAAGTTGTTTGAGCAAGAATTTGAAGACCAGACATCAAAGAGAATAGGCACCAACGACGACATTTTATATGAAGGAAGGATGGCCACAATCCCGCTTTGCTGGAGTCAACCACTTCATCAAGAAGTTGTGCAGAAGCAGTATGATTCGCTAGCCACATGTTTGAAGGCGTCTTATTGGCCAAATGACATAGTAGGGGCAGTTTTCTCTCCTTGTAAAGCCTAATGGAAAAACTATAAATAGGGCTCTCGAGCTAGAGTTCGGAGAGGGAGAGACAAGAAGTCAAGGAAGGATCGTTACTCTGCCGACAGAACAACCCTCTTAACTTAGAGCAATGCCACATTCGAGGGAGAATCAGTGGTAAAATCGGTACCACTGGACCCATTTTCCTTGTTCTGTTTGCCGATTCTTGTGGTGCTCGGAGTCTTCGTTTTCAATGATGAACACCTAGGACAACTCCCCCATCGTTGACTAAGCTTCTTAGTTGCGTAGGCACGTATGGTTCTAGCCATGTAAACTCGATGATTTGGTTAATACGATTGTTTGATTTTCATATTTGTGATGCTTGATTTCCCCTGTTTCATTATTTGTTCATTCGAATGAATGATTTGTCGATCTTGCACTCCTTTAAAGTGCAAGACTCCAAATCCTAGTCATTGATGATGCGACTAGAAATAGCAGTCTTACTCGATCCAACCTCATGAGATCAAATGGCGTGTTGCCTCGATAAAGAAATTATAAAGGACCTTGTCGCCTATAAGTTCGGGTAAATGCTTCAACACAATGAAGAAATTCAATCGAACCTCATGAGACAGCTCGTATGCGCCAAATATCAAGGTCGCGATTCAAGATTATAGAATCACGTGCTTATGCGAGTTCACCCGTGCATATTGACATGTTTACTTGCATACGTTGGGATGATGTACATCGCTATTTAAGAAAAATATGCACACAAAGTTGTATGACATGATACATACAACTCGGGAAGAACTTGCCTTTGGGTCAGCGGTAAGCGAGGTCTCTTAAGAACGGCAAGGCATAACCTAGATCGTGACATCGCATGATTAGAAGACCTAAGGGGAATGAAGCCTATGTAACGCCTTCCTTTCATGCTCTCTTGCTTCTCCAGTAGCATAGATTTACTTTTCTACACCTACTTTACATTTTGAACTCCTAAGTTCTGCAAAATCGGAGGAACTCAGCCTTCTAAATTGACATCTTCTTCAATAGAACCGTACCTCACTTCCGAAGTAAGGGTTATGCGAGAGGCGTAAGGGAATATGATCGTGGCCTTATGACCAGATAAATTTGGTCCACACTACATGACGTGTCAAATTTTGACAGCGTTGTTGGGGAGATCTTGCAAACTTTGGAAAAGGGAACGAGGAACATATTCTATTTTTTTCTTCCCAATGTTCGTAAACTCAAGGTAAATTGGTGCCAACATCGTTGATTTCCTTCCTATTTTCAACGCTCGAGGTGCCTAATTTCTGAAAGGTCGTTCAAGGGCATATTGCCTCAGAAGCCCCACCTAGAACTACAAGAAGAAATGAATCTAAGCTGCTCCCGCCGGTCAATTGCCTCCCTCCATCGCATCCCGTGACTCCCATCGGTGGCCATCTGAGAGCCACTCCGCCATAATAACTAACCAACCGCGTCCCTCCATCGTCCATCCTCTCGATCTGACTTCTCTTGTGCTGCCGACGACCAATCAGTGGGATGTGCATGTCGTAGTGACTCCCGTAAGCGACCAATCGAGAGCCAAACATTGCCACTCCGCCATAGGAACTCTTCAATCGCCGCCTTTATCTGCTCCAAATCTCATCTTATGGCGGCAACGACGAAGACTCTCATCTTTTCATCTATTTGCCTAGTTGAGTTGAGGAATCGGGAACCTAGGAGAGGGAGGCAGCGATCGGTGATGTAGGTTGAGAAGATGGATGGAAGGTGGGCGGTGAATCAACGATGAGGTGAGGAAGACAAAGTGAGACTTCAAACATATAAGTAAGAAAGAGAAAGGAAATTGACCAAGGAGGACAGAGAAGGGTCTGGAAGAATCCAGAGGGAATGTGAGGGGAGGAGGGGTTAGGGTGTGATTTTTATTTGTTTTTTTTCTTTCATTTTAATTTTTTGAAACAACATCATTTTAGGGGTAAAGGGTTATATTTTTGGGTTAAGACTAGACTGAACCGATTTCAATCCAATCTAGTCACGGTTGAAACCGTTTTCAATTCAATCCAATTTTCAGTTGTAGAGTTAGCACGATTATCATCTAAAATACCGGGTAAAATCATGTCGATTAAACCAAACTAGACCGTTTTCCAACCATATCGAACATAACACCCAACTTCTTGACATTCAAAGGGAGGTTCATTTCCTGCTCAAGCGCGAAAGGAAGGCTAGAAGGCATGTTGTTGGCATCATGCATATGATTATGAAGGAGATAAAGATGGATTCTCAATTAGTAGAGAAATAGTTTCCTCTATCACCACCATCCGAAGGTTATGATCTAGTCTGTGAAGATAAGGATCTTGATGTTAAGGAGGAGGACAACTTTGACACCAACCACGAAGACGATTAAGTGTTGGTGCGTTGAGCGCGAGACTTTTATCTTCTTTTCTTCATCCAATAAAAAACCCAGCACCTGTAATGACTTGATCGACTTTCTTCTTACCAAGAACACGTGAATGGAGATAGGTTGAATAGAGCTTTGATCGAAAATAGATTATGTAACACTTAGCTTGGGTGTGTGTATGCTGATCGAGTGGACAAATTCAATTGGGCTTTGTGACTTGGCCTAAGAGCGTTCTCCTTTCCTTTTAATTGTGAGCCCAACGCAATGGTCTGCAGGAACTTAACTTACTAAGAATGCAGTGCTATGTTTTATTAACTAGAATTGGATGTTAGTTTTTTTATTCCACTGATCGACAGAGTCCTTGTAATTTAAACACCAAAAGCAAAACAAGAACGAGCAAGAACACTGAAATCACAGAGAATAAAAGAGATGACACCACACACAAATTTTTATGTCGTTTCCATTATTGGGAGAATAAGGATCCCAATGACTGTTCCATGGTCTGAGACTCACGCCGTGTGATCTCAGATGCTGTACTACAAATGTTTCGTTGAAGCTCACAAAGTTACAAATACCCAGTCAATTAGCTCTCCGCTCAATCGAAGAAACTAACATATCAACTACCCAGCTAATAGAACCTTGGTATTGCACAATACCTATACCCATAAATCTCCCTGATTCTTGTGCTGACTTTTCACTCAAAGTCTTGCTCACACACCTTAGCACTCTGATTTTGATCCACTCGAAAAGTCTGCCTAATCTAGCCACTCGACTCTTCCTTTTATACTGTGTTTATTGATTGCTTCATTAACCTTCTTTACTCATTTTATTTTACTTGATTGATTCTTGGTTGGTGAATCGATATTTTTTGCTTCTTTCGAGATGACCGTTGTACCAATCTTTTATTTCCATTTGTGTCTTCTTCTAGCTGGAGCTGGCTGTACATTTATGCGAGACTAACTTAGGTTTGAAGCTGCATCATTCTTTGTTCATTGTCATGCTGCTTCCAACATTAAGTTCTAGGCATCCAACTCTTATTTTTTATCTTTCATTTCTTTTGACTTTAAACAATGTCTATTTGATGCTTTTTATTTATGTACTTCGTACTTTTAATTATCTAGTAGTAGTAAATCTATATATCTATTTTATTTTGTTATTTTCTGGCCCATAACCATTGATTTCCTCTTTTTCTTATGGGCTTTATTGTTCAATACCAATATGGAAGACCAAGACCTACACTTGTGCACATACACCAACCCACCAAAACACTTTACGGTAGCGATTCGTGAACCTGCCTTTATTCTCTCACATTGAGGACAATGTGTCTCTTAAGTGTGTGTAAGGGGGGGGGGGGGATTGTATGCATGTTTGAATTATTGATGATGATTTTGCCATAGTTTGTAGTAGCCTCCCTATGATTATGAATGTAAGACGTTGATGATTGTGTATGGGAGTGTTTGTTATCAATTAGTTTTGTTTTGTGGCGTTGAATGGCTTAGAATTTGTGTTTGGAACCTTAATGATATACCCAATTTTTTTCAAATTTGAGGGTTCCAAACATCTTGTCTCTAGCCTCCACCTCGTCAATGTGCTTAGAATTGTTAAATAGTCTATGTGGTGTGATTTACAGGGAGTAGTTTGCATTTACTAGAGTTGTCGGTGTATGAGGGGTTTTACTCCTATCTTCCTCTTTGGTGAGTTGAATAATTGATAATGTTCTCTACTTAGATAAAGAAATGTCTGCGGGACTCTCTACCTATTTTGGACTAAAAAATGTTTTCCAAATGTGCTCAACTTTGAAAAAAAAATCGTTTGAAAATTGAGGTTCTCACATGAGAGGCGACCCGGCATAGTGTTTGAGTTGAGCCGTCGAAGGCCTTTTCTCTTGGTCTGGAGTGCAATTTAAGGATGTTTTTGGGGTTCAGATAGCTTTATCGTGTCTCAATCATCTTTTACTACCTTCCATCCCCCAAACAGCTCTCCTCTCACGGACTCATATGGAGAGGAGTTAGAGTGCCCCTAAGCGAGTCATGAGACCTTGGTTATTGTTTGTACCCGACATGTGTGGCAACCGGTCTATCGTTCAGACGAGGAGTGCAGGCTGGGAAGTGGCGCTCGAGCAATGAATGAACATCATGTTCCCCAGATCGAGCAGTGAAAGGGAAAGCAATGTAATTTCGCTCTTGTTCACGAGGGAGAGATGCATGTTTGCAAAATTGAAAATGTTTGGTGCCAAGTGCGGCAATGTTTAAAAAGGAGAATAAAAAAATTTAGTACTACCTTGAAAAGAAAGAATAAATAGAACCTTCAAATAGTTCATTGATTTTATTGTTTTTGAGTCCCCCAGCGCACACGTTGAATATCTTGACCCATTTAGTCGACTTGATCCTCATATCGGAGTTTGTGTTTTCATAGTGAGATGGGAGTAATTTTTCACTCCACCCCAACTATTCTAACTAGTGCAACAAAGAACTATAGCTCATACCATGTTGATTGTTTATCAAGTTGTACTAGTTTGAGTAGGTTTGCTTGGGGACAAGCAAACACCTAAGTGTGGGGGAGTTGATAACATCCAAAATGGTGTTATTTGGCCTTCATATTTAGAGTTATTTCGTGGTCTTAATGGTTGATATATCTCTGTTACATCCCTATTTCATTCCTCGAAGAGAATATTGTCATATTAAAGTTGTTCTAGATGATATGGACGTCTTAGGTGCAAAAAGGGGGTCATAAGTATAGGATTATTGACAAAAATGAGAGATTGCAACCAAGAGCAAGCATCATGGCCATAAAGAGAGGGAGTGAAGCAGAGCACGAAGATTGCAGCCTCCAAGACCGAGATCGCGGTCGTGAAGTGTGAAGCCTAGGGCGCGAACTTTAGGAGTAGCCACCAAGGAAGGACCACGGACTTTCGATAGTCGAATCACAGTCCTAGTTGTCCGACCCCGCGATATATTTAACGAATATGAAATCATGGATCATGACCAAGATGTTAGGTTCCGAACTCAACGCCCAGCCTAGGGTAACAAAATCCGTGAAATACAATCTTGGTTGACCACTATATTAGAAACACTGTCTTGAGTTATACTTGACTCAAGATGGGTTAGTTAATTGATGTTGTGCAATCAATCTTAATAAACCGCATAGGGTCACACCATTTTCGCTGGCGATGGAGGAATATGGATAGTTGAGCTTAATTGTAAAGGATGTGTCGAATCTTGAAATATGCAACTTGATGCTTTGGTTATGTCAAGGTAACTCAAGAAGGTGCAGCCTAATGACATATGACATCAAACCCTTCTTCTAGTGATGAAAGAAGTAGGCTCGTCGCCGTAGTTTCCAGGAAAAGGGTAGGGCATCACAGCAGTCTGCCGACAAAGGAGGTGATGAAATTCACACCACCTAACGATCTTTGATGAAGAGTGGAGAATCCTGCAACAGATGGTGAACAACCAGCTTAAAATTTTATCAAGCAAGTTGTGGGATGATAATTGAAGCAAGATTACATCTATTAAGCAGTTCCTCTGCCTTAGTTATAACAAGCTCGTGTCCAGCTTGATGCATCTCTGCCATTCAATATATGAATAGGTGAAATCGTCCTTCATTGTTGTCCTAACGCATTGTCTTTGCCATGGTTTCCGAGAAAAGACTCTGATACCAATTTGTAATGTCCCATCTTTTGTGTATCAATGAATTCTCGACAAAACTTTGAAAATGGTGTTTGGTAGAGCGCCTAAGTTGCTAGAAGTCAACAGAAGAGAAGCAATACCGAAGAAGATGGAGAAGAGAAAGGATGATTGAGAAGAAGAAAGACATAATAGAGGTAGAAGAGAAGCATAAGCAAAGAGAAGGGAAAATATGTTTTTGTTATACGATGATTCTTGCAATTACAACACACAGCTCATTTTATAGGACTACTCATTTACAAAAATGACTCAACCAAGCATTTATTTCAACTAAATCCTATTCATTGCATAATTCCAAATCATTGATGTTATTTTCCCTTTCTTAGGTTATACTCGTACTTCAGTCATCTCTAGCAATAAATGGAATCAACATTAAAATAAGAAGAAGAAACAGAATAGGGTTTGCTTTTTTGAAAACTTGGAAGGCGAATACACAAATTCGTTATACGATCATGTGCGCAAGGTCATAAAGAGATGATGATAAACAAGATACATTGCTAAGGAGGAAGGCCAAAAGGATGATATTTCGACTGTGAAGAAAGATAGGAAGGGGGAACTTGTCAAATCACACATTGGTCCATGGGTAGGCATTGGTAGATTTGGTCTAGAACCGAGTCGAATTGAGATAAGATCGGATCAAAATCAAAGAGAAATTGAGGATCATAGCCGAATCAAAAGCATGTTTGATTCATTTTATTTGATACGATCTGGTTCAAATTCAATTTCGATATACTTTTTCTTCATATTTACGATAATTTTTCAGGATTGAAACCAAATTAAAATTATATTTGATATGATACAATTCGAACTACTGTAAGCATAATTGTTGCCCACCCATGTAAAGATTTAAGATAGTAGTTCCGAAAACCGTGATATTGAACACGTTTCCGAAGCCCAAAGTATAAAATCTCATCTCCACTTTTGCCTTCATCCATCTCCTCCAAAGAGTAAGGAGACAGTCCCTCTCAGCTCTAACCAAAAGAGGAGAGAGAGAGAGAGAGAGAGAGAGAGAGAGAGAGAGACATGGAACTGTTACATTCACCAAACCTTACCACATGAATTTTGTTTCCATTTCCCATCTCAATTAGGAAACCCACAAAAGAGGCTTTCCGGTGATTAATTGCACTTTCCTTGGATTAGTGTTCGTTTCTGGGCATGTTAGGCAAATTGCCAAGCCGGCAATTACTTGACTTTCCGCAGTGTTGTTATAATTCATTGTTTTGAGCACATATCTGTTCAATTTACAGTCCATTTTCAAAGCAGCAATTTAATGAATATAGGAAGAAAGAGAGCTTAGGCAAAGTGGGATTAGTTTCCAGTCGACAGCTAGCCTCTGACAACTACTAGCTACTATTTGTACTTAAATTCACATCCCATTATTTGAATGGTTTTTAGTTCAAAGTTCAAAACCTATACAAAGATTTTTAAGGTTTGACATGATTAGCACCTAATGGTGCTTTTTGCTTTGTGTGTTGACATTATGAATCCAAGAAATTGGGAGAATAGAATAGTATAATGCTAGCTTATGCGTAGTGCTTTGACTGAAGTTTCGTCTCAAAATTAAGCCTTTTTAATATTTCCAATCCAAATCTAGTTGTTTGATGATTAAGTGCCAAATCGGGTACCTGTCTTCCCTAATCATTGGTTAGATAATTAAGTGGCCATAGTGAATGAGTGACGAATGAAATTTTTAGCTAATTGTTGGTGCAGTTGGCAAGGTTTGGTGTGAAATTGATTATGTGTGTAATATGATAGATTGAATCGGGGAGATTAATTTGTCCAAAAAAGAGTTATAACGAAATAGTGATTTTAATAAGATCATGTTTATGGTCACTAATACGCGGTTTAACTAGTGCAATTGGAAGATATAGTATAGTATCAAATACATTGAAGATAGTTGTCAATTAGTTCACACTTCTCATTTTGTTTTGGTAAAAAATAGGGTGCAAAATGACATCCTAATTTGTATTATCAATCAAATGAGATTGGAGAGACCCAAGAACAGCATTGTCGAGGCAAGACTGAAGTTTGGTATCATTACAATCAAAAGAATAAGTTTGAACGGCAAGATCAAATCTTGGGCTGGGTAGAAAATTTAGTCATATGATTAGCTTCACATAATGTGTCAACAATCTGAATCTTCTTTACTTGACAAAATGAATATATCTTAAACTAGGTTAAAAGTAGCGAACATCGGAGTTTATGATTTTTAATTTTTATTTACAAAAGTAGAAAAATATCTTAGAAATTATAGTTCAATATGTGCAATTGCAATATAGCCAAACAATGGTTAAAAGGACGGAATGAGTCCGAGTGACATTTTACATCAGGACGAAGAAGACTGATGATTAGTTCTTAAATTAAGTATTTCATTTTTTTTTCGGTGAGATGGTGTTTCGTATTTTTGGGATTGATGATGGCATTTCTCATTTATTTCTTTGTTTCTCTTTTTTTTTTTTTTAAGAATGTTACTCTTCTTTTCCTTTTCGGTTTATGCAGGCAAAACAAAAGGTTAAAGGAAATTCGAGTAAGGGGTTGTAAACTAATTGTCAGCTTGGGATACTTATAGAGGTTACTATTTGCCGTCCAGGTAATTACTATTTACCGTCTGTAAATTATACTAAAAAGACAATTTTGCCCTCCAAATTTTTCTTTATATTCTATTCTCTGAATTTTTTTTTAAACAACATACACACCACCCGACCACCAACCCCCCACAATCACCATACCCAGATTCACGGCCACCGGACGACAGCCTAAGTTGCCGGCCACCGGACCAATCTCGTCAGCATAATTCGCCGGCCACTGGACGGCAGCCGTACCACATCGTCGTACCAGCGAATCAGGTAAACCCCCGTGCCTGGCCTCCTGTATTTTTTTTCCCGTCCGCTCGCCGTCTTTGGATGGCGCCCGACGCCGGCGGCGGACCCCTCCGGCGAGCGGACGGCGCCCGTTGCCGGCGAGTGGACGGCGATAGTCGGCAGTGTTTATTATTATTTTTCTAAAAAATTGATACATATTATTAATTCTAAAGCTAATAATTTATATTTAATTTATTGCTTTTATTTTTATTTTACATAGTTAATATGTATGTAGTTTGAATTAAGCGATTGTATTTTGTTGTAGTGCTAATTAGTTTATTGTGTTTAGATTTAATTCTTAGAGCTAAAGAAGTTTAATAATCTATATCTAAATAATTTTCTTATCGTCAAATTATCATTATTTTTTAGAGTTAATTAAATTATTGCATTTAGTTTAATTTTGTAGAGTCAATTGAAGCACAATTAGTTTAATTAAGCGATTGTGTTTTGTTGTAGCGCTAATTATTTTATTGTGTTTAGATTTAATTCGTAGAGTTAAAGAAGTTTAATAATTTATATTTAAATAATTTTCTTATCGTCAAATTATCATTATTTTATAGAGTTAATTAAATTATGGCATTTAGTTTAATTTTGTAGAGTCAATTGAAGCACAATTAGTTTAATTAAGGTCCAGATGCACACTATGCGCCCCCAAGTTGTTCCATCACGAATCATAAACAGACTGGTAGCTAAGAGAGTATCCAAGCGTGGAAGCAGGTCTACGCACAACAAGCGGACACTCCGGGGGTTACGGTACACTCTGCACGTAGCCTAACTGTCGGAGCCACCTAGTGGGATCATATGGCTCTACTATCTCTGCAAATTTGAGCAGACCCTGATACAAGGTACGTCTCACCGTCAGATGAGGACTATGACCATACGGAGTCCAACAAACTGACTGAGGGGTCAAAGTATCAATCGCCTAGCGATAATAAGCCATCATATGTGCATCCCTCTTTTTCGTCGACTGGGGTGAGATACCGCGCCACCTGAATGCTCCTGCCTGCCCCTGCTCCAGCTCTCGTGGCTCTAACCATCTAGGCCTCAAGGTAGGAAAGTGGTCGTAAATCCAACACTGTAGTAAAGTCAGACAATCCGCCACTCCCTTAGCCTCTGCCCAGGAGGCAATACCAAGCTGCCTGTACAGATAAGCAAGTGCTCCTCCCCCCCCCCCCCCCCCCCCCCCCCTCCCACACACACACACACACACACGTACTCTCCTAGCATATCCGGCCTCTTCACAAACAAGTTGACAACAGCAGAAACGCGGTTCTTACTCTTATCTACGAACAGTGTAGACCCAAGCAGCAAAAGAAGGTAACACTGAGCCTCTCTAGCTGGCAGACCAGACCGCTCCGGCCAGTCGGACGGCGGCGACAACGAATTAAAAAAAAAACAAAAAATTACCTCGGCGGCGACGACTTCTCCTGAGCGCTGGCGGCCGAGATCAGCAGAGGGAATGGGCGGCGGCGGCGCCGGAGCTCGACAGAGGGAGGTCCTGCGGCGGTCGGCGGTGAGCAGTAGGGGTGGGAGGTGAAGGCAGCAGAAGGGAGGGTTGGGACTTGAGGTAGTTAGGTTTAGGATTTTTAAAATGAGGCATGAGTAAAATCGTCATGTTTTTTATAACTACGGGCGGCAAATAGTAAAACTAAGGGCACAAATAGCTATTCATTACTTATAATAATGTGTCTACGAGACATGTGAAGTGATCCCATTATTATTGAATTTATTTAACTGCAAAAGATTAACTACTAAACAAGACTCCCAGTAATCAATTTTGTTTACTTCTCTTCTATTTTATATATTCAGACGAACGAGAATTTGATCTAAAAGTATCGCAACTTAAACTGATCCTATTTGTTAAAAGCACTAAGAAGCCAGCCTCGTCAAAACCCTATCCAAAACTATCAAAAATAATTCTACTTTATAGTAAAAAAAATTATTCATGCTCGATTAATTTTGAAAATAACAACTCATAACTCGCTTAACTTATAAATCAGTTAGTCATAATTTAACTGATCAACAACTAGCTTACATGTCACTCGATGCAAAATAACTCGATCGTTTATAGACGAAGTAACTATAGGTATTCGATCAAGCTGAAATCCAATCAACCAATAACCTAATCAACACACCCAAACTGGCCTCGAACGGCCCAGTTTTGCTTCTGATTGTATTATGTGTAGACAACATGGTCCATGAAACCGTAAAACGGAGACCGTATCCAAAAAGTCAGCGGTATGATATTTTATGACAAAACCGTTGTTTTGATCGTAGTTTAACCGTCAGTACCGTTAAAGACTGCCTACTGATTTAGCCTCCAAAAGTTGTATTTTGTGGTTGAACCGTCGGTACGATTTCATGCCCCGTGGTAGACGGCAGACACAGTAGACTAATCGCTAATGTAATCAGGGAATAACTTGCGCCACAGTCAGCGCAGAGCGCACCAACTTCACCGTTTCTCAAGAATAATAAAAGGGTGGAAAAAGAGGAGCAGTCTGCTACTACTGCAATTCTGCCGTCTGCGTCTCTGCGACCACCAGCCCACCTCGTCTCTTTGCCTCCCTCTGCCCTCAGTTAAATCAGAACTTGTTAAATAACCCATCAAAGCTTCCACTTCACTGCCCATTGCCCACTCTCTCTCTTCCTCAGTCTCCGTCTTTCTTCAACCCAAAACAAGCAAATAGCTGCACAAGTTTCCTATCTTTTTCCTTTTCGTGCTTCCCTTTCTTTCCTCTGCAAATTCTCCCACCGTTGGGATCCCCTCAGCTCTACCCACCCGGCTACCCGAATTCAGTTAACTAACGAAACCCGCCGGAATGGTACTATGGATCCTCCGCTTATAAACGAGTCGTCATTCTCCGCTGCCAACCCTTCCTCCTACAGCTTGGGGGAGATTTGGCCATTTCAGGGGATCAATGTGGAAGCCGGTGATGGTGGGTTGGGCCTCCGTGTGGGCAGTTTACCCTCGGCCGCTGCAATTGGGTTTGGCATTGGACAGCGAGATGGGTCTGCTGAGGAATCCACGGTGACGGACCATAGTGGCGCCGCCGGAAATGCCAGGAAGCGGAGGGATTTCAGCTTCGAGGATGAGTCTTCTAAGATAGTTTCCACAACAAGCAGTGGCAATGAATTGGTCTGTTCTGCTGCTGAATTCACCTCCCAATCTCGCCCTCTCTCTTCTTTATCTCTTTCACAATTTACCCAATTCCCCTGCTGATATTTCTTGGGCGGATCCTTTTTTTTTTTTTTGTGGGAAGTTTAAAAAGATTTGGAATTCGAGTTTCCCTTAGTCATCTCCAGCAAATTTGATGTTGAAAGAGTTGTTCATATTATGCCCTTTTCATCAAAAGTGATGTAATGATTTGAAAAATTATTGGCTGTATGTGGAATCAAGATGGAACGAGGAACAGCATTACAGCAATGACTTGTTTGTCTTCAACCGACTTGCCCATGATTGTGGTTTTGGCCTTGAAGCTGCAATGGATTTTGGCCACACGACTTTGGTTCTTTTTGAATCAACCTACCAGATGACTTATCTCTGTGCTACTTCTTCTTCCAGGATGATTCCAAGATTAAACGGATGAAGCCATCGAGGTGCAGAAGTGAAACTGGTAATTCAAGAGCTGAGCCAAATTCTACTGCCGATAACACGGCAGCTGATCAAAGCAAGCCCTCTGAGCCGCCTAAGCAAGATTTTATTCATGTGAGAGCAAGAAGGGGCCAAGCCACTGATAGCCACAGTCTTGCTGAAAGAGTAATGCGCTTGCTCTGAACTCTCTTGGTTTGCTCAAATTTGAGGAGCTTCAGTCACGGTTAAAACAGTTTTCTTACAGTATCTTTGTTCTGACAGGCGAGGCGAGAAAAGATAAGTGAGAGGATGAAGATACTTCAGGATTTGGTGCCTGGTTGTAACAAGGTACTTGACTGGGGCTTCAGTTTTAGTAGTCCTAACAACGATATGGAATGAGTTCATTTCAACACCTAGAGAATTTTTAGTCCATCTAGAAATGTTATCGAGCTTGTTGTTTTGTTTCTGTGACACTTCCACTCTTTTCTGAACTTCTTGAACCCGTTTCTTAGGCAACAATCTACTTAATTGTTCTATCAGGTAATTGGCAAGGCGCTGGTACTTGATGAGATCATAAATTATATTCAATCATTACAACGGCAGGTTGAGGTATTATTACTTGATTCTGCCTCCCAGACTACTGCAAATATTAGCTTAAATTTATCTTCATAACTCTCTGTTCAAGCTGAAACATGGTCTCTTTGTGGATTTGATTTCGTAGTTCCTGTCAATGAAGCTTGAAACTGTGAATGTGAGGATGGGCATGAACCCAGCCATGGAGGGTTTTCATCTTAAAGATGTGAGTCTACTTTTACAAAATGCCATTACATCATTTGATTAAACAATTTCAATATTTACTTCTGGAAATTGTGGTTCTTTATGATCTTCTGATGTGTAGAGTTGAGAATACACTTGTGGGTGAACTATGATTTCTGTACTCATTGACATTTGAATCAAACCGAGCTGAACCAAGTATAATTCAATTATCAAATTCGTAGCCTTTTTCTGGTTTGGATTCCATTGATTTTCTAAGAAACAAAGATAAAGGCTGACCAAATGGGAACAGGATAGGACCGAATCTGATCAAATGCTCTCTTACTCCGACTCTGGTTTTCAATTTCCTTGACATTCGATCCCATTCTATGTTGATTTGGTCCGATATTGGACCAGACTGAACCATTCCCGCCCTGTTGAAGGCTTGCAGTCCAGGGCAAGATTAGTAAACAGGACACCAAGATTTAGTGTCCTCCGTCCCTTTGTAGTACGTCTATGTAGCTTTAGATGTTTGCATTAGATCTTAGTTACCGTCTGTGGTCTTACAGCTCTAAGGGGTTAGGGTTCCTCAATTGAAATGGCGGAATTTATTCTAGATGAAGCCCACACCAAGTGTTGCATTTTCTTATAATCTTGTCTTGTCTTTGATGTAAAGCCTTTATCTTGCCTCGTTGCTCGATTTGGTCTCCCATGATAAGTTCTATAAATATGTACGAAATACTGCATATATGCTATTACGCTTTCCCCTGAATGTCAGATCTGGTGTTTGAGATTTAGGTAATGATCAAACAATCCAAAAACTTACTATGGCTATGTTTAGTGTGTGCTTCTGCTTCTAGTCATGCGACAAGAACTTGGAATTTGATTCCCATGATCCTCAACAGAGACTACAAACTCTTGTTGGTAATTTGTTCTCTGATATTTCTCGCCTATTCTGTTTCTGTAGCTCTGCACTCATCCATTTGATGCTCCTGGGATGATGTTTGGACAACAAGCAACAAGGGAATACGTGCAAGGACCACAAGCGGAATGGCTACACATGCAGGTTGGTGGGGGTTTTGAAAGATCGTCATGATCATGAAGCAAAAGCAGCTATAGATTTGTTCTTGTTTGGTTCTCATTATTATTGATATAAATTCTGTTGAATATGTTTTCCTTTGTGTACCTAGTTGTGAGAGAAGACTCTTGTACTTTGTAATCTTGTATCATGTGTAGAAAAGAAACCCTATTCATTGTGTATCAAACTCACGGATTCGTTGATTCCAAAAACCCTGATAAAACATAGTGAATTTAGTTTGCAAATGGTGAAACTATATTAAAAAGTTGTATGCTCTTTTTTCCTCCATCTAGTGATTTCAAGTTTGACTCGTCACGAATGTCACAATAAAAATCCCGACTAATGCCCAAGTATAAATATTAACCGGGTGTAATATAGGGCAAATATGTTTAAATATCAACCCGGGCCGGACCATGTACCCCTACTTTCATTGTTTGAAACATTATCTAGCAATTGGTGTTTTTGGTGAAAACTACGATCTACAACTAAAACGTTTGGAAAAGTAAATGGATTGGACACTAATTGAGAAGGCTTCAACCGGGTGTTACTCCCTCTAGCTATCAATTATGCCTTGTCGGATCGAATGAAAATGTGTGGAATTGCGGTTGTAAACCGTAGGGAAGTGCAACTAGTGGACAAACGCCACTGATAGACCGTTAATTGCACATATTTTTACCCATATTCTTGAGCCGTTTGAGATGTTAATTCTCGTGTTTTAGGCCGATTTCACGCTAGGTTGTTCTTGTTTGTGATATTTCAGGTCCTAGTACGTGAATGAAGATTTAGGAACGAGTTCGGGGTCGATTGGACGAAGATCAGACGTTTGGCGAGAAGCTGAGGAAGTCAAACAGGCATGCCTAAAACCCACACAGCCGTGTAAGGGGACCCACGTGGCCGTGTGGAAATTCCAGGGAACACACACGGGCAGCCTGGAAATCCACACGCCTGTGTGGTTGTGGCCGTGTAGGATGGCTGAAGTCCACTTATCGAAACGCCGCGTTTTGCTCAACTCACACGGGCAGCTGAGAAAGCCACACGGCCATGTGGCCTGCCCGTGTGGTCGGGAATTTCTGGGTTTTAACCCAAATTCGAGCCAAAGGAGAGGGAGAGCTGGGTTTTTGGATCCCAAACACCCAAGGGACGAACCAAAGAGAGAGAGGGCGATTTGAGGGCATTCTTGGAGTGGAACTGGAGGATTTCTTCGCCTTGGAAGCTCGAGGAACAAGCCCGGACTTGAAGACTGATCATCTGAAGATTCTTACTGCAGTCTCTCTCTTCTCTATGGAGTAACTTCCCTTCACTTAGGTTTTGAGGAACCTTAGCTATGTTTATTTGATTGGATGATTGTATGAGTACTCTTACTTGATAATCTTGAGTTCATATTCAATCTATGCACGTTTTCATGATTCAATTATGCTTTAGTCGAGATTATTGATTCTGCTTTGATCCTATGAGAGCGAATACCTAATTAGGTCAATAGAGCACCATAGATTGATAGTAGTGGATCGATTGCTTTAGTCGAGGGTTGATTCACTGCTTTGTATCGAGTGAGAACTTCTTTCGATAGAGGGAGTCTAGTTCAGAACGCCTTGATCGGTTGTTCTAGAGAAGGATACGTCCCTCTAGACAATTGACTAAAGAGAGCCTTGTTCCTTTAGTCGAGACCAAGGTCTAGTCAAGGATTCTCCGCATTGTGAATGAAATTGAAACAGGTTAGAGATCTTCAATCATTAATCTGGCTAGTGGCTAGGGGGAATCATACCTAAGTGAGTTCCCAAACTGTAATTAGTAGTTTTACTTAGTTTAGTTAGTAGAGTAGTTTAGTTAATCAATCCTTAATCTGGTTTGCTAGATAATGAACTGAAGCTGAGTAATAGTAACTCTAGAGACCCGTGGATTCGATATTTATTACTTGAGCCACGATACTGCAGTCCCTTTCATTGGTTACACTTGGCCTTTGTTAGGAGTTGTGTCATAGCGAGTCAGCCACTCTCTAGGTCAATAGGCCAAGGGATTCCGAATCAAGATACCAAGGTAGCTCACTTGGCCTATCGACTAAGGGTTACATAGACTTTACCCTCGAATTGGAGTTCGGACGACCAAATTACAACCAACCCTAGGTGCTATTACCAATTAAGAGGTTTTCCCTAGTTTAATCTAAGTAGGAGACAAAGATTGCCCAAGGAAATCCAACTTTTACAAGCCCCTTCAAAAAGGGGATTTCCCTCTACCTAGGTTAAAATTGCATAAGACATTGAAATGCACAAACACAATCAATCTTTGTGAAAATACCTCATAACATTGTATTAAAACACAACCTCACACAAATCATTCAATCCATACAAAAGTTCACATAATTGTAGTTATGGTTTACAAACACCCAAGTGAAAGAAGGGATTACTCCATGCTAGGTGAAGGGAAAACACATGGGGGAAGAAGGAAAATCATCATGGAGATGCTAGCCTTGCTCCTTGTGTTGAAGAGATCCTCCTTTGGAGAAGGAATTCCCAAAACCTTGCTAGAAGATGAAACCCTAGCTTCTTCTCTTCTTTGGTTCATCACTTTCTCGCTCCATGCACGATTAGTTGGGGTTGGTGAGTGGTCTTGTTGAGACTTGCATTGATTTCTGAACAGGGTGAGAAATTTTCATTTGCACATTCTTGATGCATTCAAATGTCGTTTGTGGTGGATGCATGTATTGCTCGCGACGGTTCATGTGTTGATGCCCAATAGCCATTGAGATTCACCACTTTGTGCCTTTTGATTTCTCCCCAAGTTATTTTGTTAGGTTGAGATGTCACCTAGGTTGGAAATGGTTTGCTTGGGATCAAGTAAACGTCTAAGTGTAGGGGAGTGATTCGGGCTCAATTGTACACCTTTTTACCTCGCTTTCCTTAGTCATTTTTGGCATTTGTACTCCGGGAGGTTTGGTTTTACGTCGGGTTTTGTCTCGTTTTTGTGTGTTTCTAACTATGGCAGGTGGAACCAACCCCGGAGCCGAAAGTTGGACGAAAAGGAAAAAAATCAAGTCAAAGGATGGAGGAAGCAGCAGATCACGGTGGAAGCTGTGAGTTCACGGTCACAAGTCCATGAATTGGAGCCTCTAGCCGTGAACCGCCAGGCGTCCAAAGCATTTTTCAGTCACCTCCACCATACATTTTAAGTCATTTCAACAAGTCCTGGTAGCGCGTTAAGGGGAGCTACACCTGGGTGAATACTTCTCATTTAAGTGTGAAAACCAATTACTTTTGCCTTCGTTTTAACAGTACACCATAGTTTTCAATCGACCAACCAACCACTAGATAATGTTTCAAACAATTGAAGTAGGTGTACATGGACTGGCACGGGTCGATATTTAAACATACTTTCCATATATTGCACCCGATTGAGGTTTATAATTGGGCCTTAATTTGGAGTTTATTGTGATATTCGGGATGATTCGGGCCTAATTGTACATGTTTTACCCCCCGTTTTACTTAGATGTTTGTGGCAAATTCGCTCCTAAAAGGTTGGTTTTCCGCTAGGTTTCTCGTGTTTTAGCATGTTTAAGGATTTAACAGGTGAAACCAGCCTCAGAGTCAAAGTTGGACGAAAAGGATCGAAAACCGGGAGAAGAATTGAAAAATAGCCAGTTCACGGTTTACCCAGGAAGTACACGGTCTTGCATGACCGGGAAGAAGAGCTGTTGACCGTGCAATGCAAGGCGTCCAGAGAATTTTCATAAGTTACTGAAGCAAGGTGTGTTCACGGTCACTAAGACCGCAAACGGGGGCTGTTGACCGTGAACGCGAGTGAACGAAGCGGTGCGTTTTGGCGCACGCCTGCAGTTCACGGATGCGAACTCAGATCGTCTCAGGTTTAAAAGAAGAGATGAAAGGAGGAGAGAGGGGAGAGCCCATTTGTATGAAAAGCCTTCTTCAGATTTCTAGAGAGAAACACGAACCAAAGGAGAAGAAGGCTAGGGTTTTGCTTCAATGTGGATTTTGGGAAGATTTCCTCCAAGGAAAGTTCAACACAAGGACCAAGAAGATTGGGAGAATCCTCCAAGATGGTTTCTACCTCTTCTCCTTGTGTTTTCCCCATTTCTAGCATGGAGTAGATTTCCTTTCACTTGGGTGTGAAACCCTAACTCTACCATGTAGTTTCTTTTATGTGAATTGAATGATTGTCATTGGATATTGTTTAATTCAATGATTGAGGTATTATTCATGATGATTGTGCATGCTTGTGCTTAGCAACCTAAGGGTTGTGCATGTTTTGTGCTTAGCATCCTTAGGTTTGTGCATTTTGGTGCTTAGCAACCTAAGGATTGTGCATAATTGTGCTTAGCATCCTTAGGTTTGTGCATGTTGGTGCTAGCAATCTAATTAGCCACCTTAACCTAGCTTAGAGAGGAGAATCCTCCTTCCAAGGGCGACTCAATCGATTTGGTTTTCCTTCAGCTTTTTAAGCCACCTAACTAGGTTAATTTAGGGCAACCCTCAATGTTGAATTAAGCAATTTGGTTAATCGCAATTACGCCGTCCGACCCTAGAGTTGAGTGAGGGAGTAAGTCAACTACCGATTTCTTAAACCGAGAGGGTAGAGTGACACGGCCTATAATGCTTACCTCAGTTTAGCAATTGAGATTGTGGTCTCCGACCATATATGCATCCCTCTGCGGTTCGCAGTTACCTTGCCCGAAGCAATCGTTCCAATTCACTTACCATGGTAGTAGTTAGGGGGAAGTGACACCCGAGTGATCCTTCCACAAAAGAGTTTTCAAAACCAATTACCTTTGCCTTATTTTACTTTAATTAGCAAACTTTTAAACCAAAACTTTGTTGCTAGATAATGATTCAAATGAATGAAGTAGGGGTAGACGGAACGGTCCGGGTTGATATTTAAACATACTTATCCTATAGTGCACCCGACTAAGGTTTATACTTGGACCTTAGGCGGGAAATTATTGTGGTATTCGAGATGAGTCAAGTTTTTGGCGGCGTTGCCGGGGACAACGGTCTGTTATCTTGAAAAAG